CAGCATGGTGCCATTCAGGTGCTCATCGCCTCGAAGGACACCGCGTGGAGCTTGCCATTGTCAAGCTACATGGTCATCATTATGGGCGTTCAGTCATACGAGGGCAAAGAGCATCGCTACGTTGACTACCCTGTCATGGACGTCTTGCAGATGATGGGTCGTGCCTGCCGGCCACTGGAGGACGAGAAGAGTCGTGCGGTGCTGATGTGCCAGCAAACGCGGAAAGACTTCTACAAGAAGTTCTTGGCGGAGGGTCTACCGATCGAGTCTCACCTGCCGACACACATGCTCCACGACTACTTCCTTGCTGAGATCGCGGTCAAGACGATTGAGAACAAGCAGGATGCCATGGTATGTATCATTGCAGGTCTTATTCCTCGTCATATGCTTAGCAAGTCTATAGGACATCCTCACCTGGACCTACTTCTACCGGAGAATGACCCAGAACCCGAACTATTACAACCTGCATAACGTCAGCCACCAGCACCTCTCGGACCACCTTTCGGAGTTGGTGGAGAACACGTTGAACGATCTGGTCAACTCCAAGTGCATCACGATTGGTGAGCGCCTCACACACACCATGTCTTGAGCCTTTCTGATGTGTCTCGCAGAGGATGAGATGGACGTGTCGCCATTAAACTTGGGTATGATTGCCGCGTACTACAACATCTCCTGTGAGTACATCCATTGACCATCGCCCAGTTATATCTGACTCATATCTTCGCAGATGTCACTGTCGAGGTCTACACGCTCTCGTTGAAGGAGCGCACAAAACTCAAGGGTCTCCTTGAGGTCGTCTCCTCATCAGCCGAATTCGAGACAATTCCTATTCGCCGACACGAAGACGTACTGCTTCGTCGCATCTATGACCGGGTACCTGTCAAGCTCGAGAAGGCGGACTTCGAAGCACCCCACTTCAAGACGTTCCTCCTGCTTCAGGCACACTTCTCGCGTCTCACACTCCCTCCCGACCTCGCCGCCGACCAGGTCCTCGTTCTCGAGAAGGTTCTCAACCTGCTCTCCGCATGTGTTGACGTCATGTCGTCAAACGCGTGGCTGAATGCTCTTGGAGCGATGGACTTGTCTCAAATGTGTGTGCAGGCCTGCTGGGAGACCGACTCGCCGCTGAAGCAGATTCCTCACTTCGAGCCGGAGGTAAGCATGCCGCGTGATTGTAAACATTTTATTGAGCTCATGGTGCTTCAGGTCGTCAAGCGCTGCAAGGATGCGGGTGTCGAGACTGTGTACGATATCATGGAGATGGAGGATGACAAGCGCAATGAGCTTCTTCAAATGGATGCTCGGCAAATGTACGTACCGATGGTCCGCTCCTCTCTCACTTCGTTACTAATTTACTTCTGTTAGGCGCGACGTCGCAACGTTCGTCAACTCCTACCCTACCCTTGACGTCAACTTCGAGCTCGCGAAGGGAGATTACACTGCTGGCGCGCCGATCACCATCCAGGTTGCGCTTTCCAAAGACGCTGACGAGGACATGGATACGAGCGAGGACGACGAGACGGTCGTGGCGCCCTTCTATCCCAAGAAGAAGCTTGCCAACTGGTGGGTCGTCATCGGCGAGCCGAAGACACGTCAGCTGCTTGCGATCAAGAAGGTGACTGTGCACCGGAATCTGGCCGTCCGGCTTGAGTTCTCGTTGCCCCAGGGTCAGCATGCGCTCAAGTTGTACGTCATCTGCGACTCCTACATGGGCGCCGACCACGATATCGACATCGACCCGATCGATGTCGCCGAGGGCGAGGAGAGCGAGAGCGAAGAGGAGAGCGACGATGCCATGGAGGAGTAGACATCCTGTTGTTGAGTACCATATTGTTGTTCTTGAAGCACGCTGTACTATATGACCATTGATGTAATGGACGCTAATGCTAGACGCTCCCACAATGCTGCCCGACCAGTATCTTGGGTAACACCGCAGCGGAATTCTAGATTGAGATGCAAGTGCCTACTTGCTGGCAAATATTTTCTTTCGACTTCGGGTACGGACAGGCACGGACACGTCCAGCTCGGTGCTTGCTCAGCGGTTTGATCGAACGCGGGATCGGTCCCGCGAACGGGCATCCTCCGCCGTCTACGTTTGCAACTAACCATCGCAACGACAAAGCTGCGATTCCGAATTTGACTGCCGTACATGCGTCACTCACCGGCTGTGCTACCTGCGGAAGTTCGCATGCAACCTGTGGACTCCGCAGGTCCACCAAGCTTCCCTTGGCGCCCCACAGTCTCGATGGAACATTCCGGGAGACACTCAAAACACACGCGTCCCCCCGCTTGAGGCCAATACTCAGAAAGCCTGCCGAACAGCATACGAGTGCAGCGGACACAGGCAACTCGAGCGCACGCTGAGCGAGGTCCGCCGAGTATAAATACCTTTTGTTCAAACCCTGCATAGCCAACAGAGAAGTTCAACAGCAGACACAACAAACTAGCCACTCAGCAAACATCACAGCAATATGTCGGACACCAAGCGTATCACTGTTTACGTTGCGATCGTGCGTCTTCCCTCGGAGATAGTTATGCAGACTCTTACCTCCGACCCTCTAGGACTCCCCCTTCTCTCACAGAGTATGTGGTCGCTGCGATGCCCTACGCTCTCGACACTAACCTTTGACTGTCCAGCTTCCCCTCGCACTTCGTGAGGCAAACATTCCCTACTCAACCATCTGGATCGACCTGCTCAACAAGCCAGAATGGTTCGAAAAGAAAGTCTACCCTACCGAGGGAACGGCGAGTAGTCAATCATCACTCCAGTACAAGCTCTTATCTCATACGACTATCTGGACTGCCTCTTCTCCAGATCCCCTACATCGTCTACGGCGGCCCCGAGCTGCACGAGGACGAGGCTCCCTCCCCGGATGCGGTCGCCTTCGGCGAGTCGCTCGTCATTCTCGAGTTCCTCGCCGACCTCTACCCGAATGCCGGCCTGCTCCCCGCCGACCCCGCCCTGCGGGCGAAGGCGCGGCTCTTCGCGCACGCGGTTGAGACCAAGTTCATCCCCGCCTTCGTCGGCTTCCTGTTCATGGGCATGCCCCCCGCCGCTCTCCTCGCGGTCGTCGAGGGCATGCAGGCGATGCTTCCGCCCGAGGGAGGCTTCGTCCTCGGCGAGTGGTCGATCGCGGACGCGGCGTTTGTGTCGTTCTTCTTAAGGCTCGACATGCTCCTGCGACGCGGCCTGGGGCTGTACAAGGAGAGCGCGGGGAAGGAGGCGTACGCGGCGCTGCATTCCCCTCAATTCGCGCGCATCCAGAAGTGGCTCGCGGACAACATGGCGCGGCCGAGCATGGCGGAGACGTGGGACGAGGTGCGTGGACCGATCTTGAGCTTGGCATGAAAGATGATAAACTGATTGGATGTGGGTTTGGGTCTGGTAGGAGGCGAACGCGCGGAAATTTGCACAGCGCTTGGAGCGCATCAAGGAGACGGGTGTCATCGCCAAAGGCCTGACCATCCCGGTTCAGCATAAGTGAGCTTTGGGGGAGGGATCACGAAGTAGGGATATAGGGGTCGTAGACATTGCGCGGAATCCAAGTGGTCTCAGTTACTACTACTGCCAACTGGTCCCTACCAATATCGCAGTGGTTCAATTACTCACCAGTCGACGCACTTACCAGTTGCCAGAAGACGGCTTCTTGAACGAACCCTGCACATGGAAATCTTGCAATGGAATGAAAGTCACCATGTCTACAAATCTAGTAACCGGCACGCCGCGGACGACATATAGCTCCCGGCACGTCACTCAATCTCATCGATGTATGTCGAGGGACCTTTCTCGGACTGCCAACAGTGTCGCACGCTGCCACATCCTTCCAATCGGTCTCCGGGACGCGAAGGGCATGTGACACTTGGTCGGACTTCTGGGCTTCGAAACGGTAGCAATCCTAATGGGTGAGCGTACATCGGTCATATGGTGTACAGACTTGTCTGACTTACTCGCAGACTAACGTGATAGTATCGGCATGTGCCCCTCTTCGCTCGATGGAATCCGCAGCCGGGATGCCCATTCTTCTCCCGCTCAGAAGCACGTTGCAGGGACGCGACCTATTCGCCGCGCTCTTATCAACCTTTGCTTGGGTCATGGCCCACGACGACGCCATGCTCTCCCTCCTCTTCGCCCTCACTGTCTTACTCTCCATTGGTGCCCTCTCAGCGGGATCTCCAGCCAGCTTCCATCCCTCTTCCAACTTATGGGGGCATCCAGAGGTGCGGGCGGCCAGACTTGAGCTCCTTTCAACCCAACACCCGTCTCGGAGTATACTCACCTGAATGTATATTGTACAGCGCGGCTTTGGCGGGGCGTACTTCTGCACTGGAACGGATTGGACTGGGCTTTGTGACATTGCGATCACTCCCTACGACACCTGCAATGAGTTGCTACTACCGTGGAGGAAACATGTCGCCAGCTTTACTCCTTCTCCGTGTACGCTGTGCTTCGGTGCGTTCCCTCCTATATCCTCGCCAATCTAATCTGCCAGCTTGGACTGAGGTTCTCGTTTGCAGCATACGAGTGAGTGTAACAAGTGCGCCTATCGATCGCGGCAGGTGCTCAATCAGGATGCCACTCTCAGGACCCGACACTGCTCATTCGGGAAGGGCTTCTTCTGGATGTTCCAATATCCCGGAAACGCGACGGGCGGGATAGGCGTCCCAAACAACGCCTGGAACAGGCGGTTAGAGTCGTTCAAGTGTTGGCGCTCGCCCGATTGTGAGCCGACTTGAGGAAGGAGTGTTTCAGTATGGAACTTGAAGAAAAGAGATGCAGTATGTCGCACATTGTACAACAGGCATGCAGGCGGAGTGGGACAAATAGTAGTTGCAGTTGGCTCATGGGCCAGATCACGGATGTGGATATTAAGCAGTATGTTGTCGACCATTCAAGTTGGTTTGGTAGACTCTAGCTAACGCAGTGGTTAGCGTATCGGCGGCCAATGCTTGTGGAGAAGGCCTTCTGCTGTCTATCAAATCTGACAGCTGCCCATCGTCGAGGCCTAATGGTCTAGAAGTATGATACTCGCTTTGGGTTACGCGGCTCGATAGTGCGAGTGGTCCTGGGTTCAATTCCCAGTTAGGCCCTTTTTCCTGGCCGTTCTCCGCAATGCCATCGTCGTTTTCCTGTCTGTACTCAAGCCATGCCTACAAAGTATGTAGTCAAATTCGCTCCTAGGTCATGCTCTGAACAACTCGAGCATGGAGCTTGCATCTACCACGCGTGGTGGCCACCGCTGACAAGGATGCTAAGAGAAATTGTCAGCGTCAGTATCAGATGTCGTCTTGGAGAGTGCAAGCCACACAGTGCGTACTCGCTACCAGTGCAAAAAGAGCTTGCGTCGCTTGCCAGCCATGCAACGATGCCACGAAGCTCGTCCGGACGCCCGATACGGCCCATCGGGTTATGGCTCGACCACGCTTCGAGGAGCTCGGGACGCTTCGCGAGGAATTGGCCGGTCATGCTGCAGCATGTACTGTGAGCAGGGACGCAGCCTGGTGCGTCGGTTTGTCCCCGAGACCTGCTTACCTGGTGTTGATGTATCCGGGACTAATGGTGTTGACTCTGATTTTCTTCGGGCCAAGTTCGCAGGCCATGCTACGCGCTAGCTGCAGTACGGCGGACTTGGACGTGTTGTACGATGCCCACGGGTGTCCCTGCATGTGTCTCGTATGAAGGCTGCAGCCGTGAACAGCGATGGCCAGAACGAACCTGGTTGTACCCGTGCCCGCTGATACTCGCGATCATAATGATGCTGCCGCCGTTCCCGAAGCGGTCCATCTGCTGTCCCGCTGCTTGTGCGGTATAAAGCACGCCGTTAACGTTCACGGCCATGACCTGAGGATATGACATGGTGAGATGCATGATTGATAGGTACTCGGCGTCGCTGACCCACCTCCTTGAATTGTTTCGCGGGATAGGTCAGACCATCGGTGTCGCCTCTCAATATCCCCGCCGCAGCGACGCACACGTCCATCTTCCCCTCCCTATCTCCGATGGTCCTCCCAACTTTCCACATCGCATCCTACTCGTCCGTCAATCTCAGCATCAATACCGCCCGACAGCTTCGCGAGCGCAACTCACCTGGTCAGTGACGTCCGCGCTGATGTACTCCAACCGCGCGTCCCCGCCCGTACCCTGCGTGCGCGAGACGTACTCGCGCACCTTCGTGAACTCTTCCCCTGGCTTCTTGGGCAGGTCGACACAGTAGACGACGCGCGAGCCGGCCTCGACGAGCGCGAGTGCCATCTCGAGACCGATCCCGCGATTCCCGCCAGTGACGAACCCGACGCGGTCGGCGAGGGAGAACTCGTGCTCGAAGAGCGTTGGGGAGCTCGCTGCATATGTGATGGTGAGAGCATGTTTGAGTATAGAGCGCGCAAGGTAGAAGATGATGACGTACGAGCAGAGGCGGGTGCCTCGAGCGCTTTGGCTACGCCAACCGGTCCGTATGGCGGGAGAGGGCCTGTCATGCGGCCACGAGCAGAAGCAGACTTGAGCAAGGCGCTGGTGGCGAATCGAGCACGAGCACATTGCCCGGCAACAGCCGAGGCAGCTCGCAGGCTTGAACTGTTGAAGAACATGATGTTCGTGCGACTGTCGTGCAAAACCAGAACTGTCAGCAGAATGAGACGGCATGCTCGTCTTACAACTGCTGCTTTATACCTCTCTCACAGGGATGGGAGAAGAAGGTTATAAGGTTTGCAAGAGAATAAGAGACGTAGGTAAAAAGGCCGCAGTAACCATCACGGGTCCCGGAGAAGCTCGCGAACAGAAGGCTGGTACTTGCAGCCAGGCCCATCATTGAGCCTCGTGCGGTGTCAAAAACGCCATTATCCCTTGGCGATACTCAATGCACATCCATGTCTGGTAGTCCCTGCCCATGTGCTGCATGAAAACTCCACTGTGATCATTGTCTTGACCATATGAATCACGTCATATCGTTCTAGCCTTTTCACCACGCGTGCTGTCCGCCAGTAACCAAGATACTAGGATGGTCATCAATATCAATGGCTCGCGCGAGCAACGATGGGCAAGACGTACTCGCTACCGGTACAGAACGAGCTTGCGTCACTTGCGAGCCAGGCCAATATGCCGCGAAGCTCGTCCGGACGTGCGATTCTGCCTAGCGGGACGCTGTTGTGCCAGGTGTCCAACAGCTCCGGCCGCTTTTCGAGGAGTTGGCCAGTCATGCTGTACGAGCCCGAACGATTAGGTGTGTACAACACGCATCGCGTTGCGAACTCGTACCTGGTGGCGATGTATCCGGGACTGATTGTGTTAACTCTGATCTTCTTGGGCCCGAGCTCGCACGCCATGCTTCGAGCCATCTGTAGCACCGCCGACTTAGCAGCATAGTACGAGGCCCATTGACTGTCCTAAAGAGTGGACGTTAGACCCCTACCATCAAGAGATTGACTATACGAGCACGAACCTTGATCGTGAGGTGCCCGCAAATGCTCGCGATCATGATGATGCTGCCCCCATTCCCGAATCGATCCATCTGCTGTCCTGCCGCTTGCGCGGTGTACAGCACGCCGTTCACGTTCACAGCCAGAACCTGCAGTGACAGATACGTAAGGGGACAGCTATGATCCAAGGCGCGCACTGACCTCTTGGAATTGCTTCGCAGGATAGGTGAGGCAGTCGATGGCGCCTCTCAGGATACCTGCAGCAGCGACGCACACGTCCATCCTCCCCTCGCGGTTCCCAATGGTCTCCCCGATCTTCCACATCGTGTTCTTACAGATGCTCAATCAGCATCGAGCGAAGCACAATGGCGAGCCAGCCCACTCCCCGCAACGGACCGACTATTTACTCACTTGGTCAGTGACGTCCGCGCAAATGTACTCCAGGCGCGCATCACCGCCCGTGCCCTGCATGCGCGAGACGTACTCGCGCACCTTCGTGAACTCGTCCCCTGGCTTCTTGGGCAGGTCGACGCAGTAGACGACGCGCGAGCCAGCCTCGACGAGCGCCAGCGCCATCTCGAGTCCTATCCCGCGGTTCCCGCCGGTGACGAGCCCGACGCGGTCGGCGAGGGAGAACTCGTGCTCGAAGAGCGTCGGGGCGCTGGCTGTGCGTGTGGTCACGGCGAAGGCATGTTAGGGCAGCGGGGGCAGGGAGAGAGCCTGCGGGCGACGTACGAGCGGAGGAAGGCGTCTCGAGTGCCTTCGCCACACCGACCGGACCGTATGGCGGAAGCGGCCCTGTCATGCGACTGCGTGCCGAGTTGAGCAAGGCGCTGGTGCCAAATCGGGCACGAGTGCATCGCCCGGCAGCTGCTGAGGCGGCTCGGAGGTTCGCCACGTTGAGGAGCATCCTGTCTGCCGTTCGAGCTGTCGATGAACCTAAAGGTGTCAGTACGACTGCGCTGGGTACCTGAGTGTCGACTGCTGCTGTACTTATACCCCTCGCACAGGCATGAGAGAAACAGATATTTGGGTGGGCAAGAGAACTTGCGAAGGAGAACAAGAAGTAGATACGTTCGTCACGGGTTGCGGGGAAGCTCAACCGAAGCGAGGTCAGTCATGATAGGTACTCAGCGGCGTCATCGGCACGTAACGCCCCTGGCATGGACGTTGGTATTCGCGCATTACCATGCGTGGTGACCACCGCTCACAACGATGCTAGTCGGTGTGAAAATGTCGTCAGAAACCCACAATTCGACAGGACGTGACACGCAACACAAGATGGATGTATACGCACTCGCTGCCGGTACAGAACGAGCTCGCGTCGCTTGCGAGCCAGGCCACCGCTCCCCGCAACTCTTCTGGGTTTCCGAGCCGCCCGAGCGGGTTGGTGGTAGACGCCTTCGCCAGATGGGCGGGATCCTGGACCACGAATTGTACCATCCTGTAGAACCTAAGGGTCATATACCTCCCTGCTCGGCAGCAGCATCCACGAACCTGGTCCGGATGAACCCAGGGCTGATAGAGTTGACCCGGATGCGTTGTGAGCCCAGGTCGCAAGCCATGCTGCGAGCCAACTGGAGGATCCCCGACTTCGAGGAGTGGTATGCCACGCTGGGGAATTGGGGCTATGGCCAGTACAAGTGCAAAGGTCAGCATAGCTACAAGACCGCCGGAGCGAGCCCTACCTCCAGCGCGCAGCTCCCGCAGATGCTCCCGATCATGATGATGCTCCCTCCGTTCTTGAATCGCGCCATCTGTCGGCCTGCTCCTTGCGCGCTGAACAAGACGCCTTTCAAATTGACGTCCATGGTCTGAACGACGGTCTGCGTGTCAGCGCTTGCGTTGTCTGCCAGGTCGCTCGTGCACCTGACCTCGTCAAAGTCCGCACCAGGGTAGTCGAGGGACGGCGCAAGGGGCTTGAGTATCCCGGCTGCAGCAACGCACACGTCCATTCTGCCCTCTCGATCCCCTATCATCTGTCCGACCTTCCACATGCCCTCCTACCGATGCGGTATAGTCAACGCCGCGGCGTCCATCTCGCGATTGAGAGACAGCACTCTATCCACTCACTTGGTCACGTACGTCACCACACACGTACTCGAAGTGTCCTAGCCCCATGCGGTCGACAAGCTCGCGCACTTTGGACCAATCATCGCTGGGCTGTTTGACCACGTCGAGGCAGTACACGGACCGCGCACCCGCTTCGATGAGGGCCAGGGCGGACTCGAGTCCGATGCCGCTGTTTGCACCCGTCACGAGCGCAACGCGGTCCGCGAGGGAGAACTCTTGCGTGAACAGTGTCGGGCCCGCTGGGACTGGTTATTTCAAGAATCAGATGAGTGCGTGAACATCGAAGGTACTTCGGGATGTACCTTTATCAGGAGACGCGGCGAGAGCCCTGGCGACTCCCACCGGAGCATTGAGGGCACTGGTGCTCATTGGAGCGCAAGTACGGTAGGCGATATTCATGCCTGTTGGCGATCCGCGTACTCTCTGAATCGACGGAACCCTGGCGCGGGTAGCGATAGATCTGAGCGAAGACGAAGTAGACATGGGGGAAAGGTCAGGAACGAGAGGAGGGAGAAGTTGAACGCAACTTAGACGTCGAGGTGACGCAGGACTATATGCGCACAGGGTAACGCTGGCCGCGGAGGCCCGGAGACCCGGAGACC